CTGTTCACCCCCGCATCTCTTCTTTAAGTATTTCATATATTTCAACTCCAATGTTTCCCCCTTCCTCCTCATTTTGAGGATATCAGTAAGAAGCATTTCTTGACACCACGTCACCAGCTGCCTCTGCTTCCACGCACTGACATGACTGTGCCCATGAGGATGTGCCAATCCCCTTGTCCTGGATGTGGGGTCAAGGCACCAGAGCATCAGCCCGGTACTGTGTTACACTGCATTACACTGCAGCCCAAGGATTTTAGCTTGCAAACCCTCTCTTACCATAACTGGAATTGTCCTGGGCAAGGACAGACTTCTCTTCTGCACCCTCCACCCTCTTCTCACTTTACAGCAGCGCTTTTCAGATGCAGCCTAGGAACAGAGTGCAAATGGAGTAGATGTCACTGATGGAACACAAAGATTCCATGTTACTAGATGGCAGGAGGTAAACCAGTAACTATTGCAGGGGGCTGTGCTTCCTTTGAACACCACAATACTTAAGGCAGCATTTTGTATGGAGCTAAAGAAGCAGTGAGAACTTATGGTGAGATACAGCAGAGAGAAATACAGCCAATTTGAGGCCAATAGGCTGGTATTTCAAGACACATTTGGCATCCTGTTCTTCCTGAGTGCTCTCAGTCACTATTCATATAACAAACTACCTGTTAGGACATAACAGCTTGGAAACATGGGCTATCATGAATTTGGGGTTGTAAAAAGACAGGAGATGGGTGGGAAGGTTGTCTGTGGGAGCTGGGAGTGTGAACTGAACAGAGAGATGAGGGTGGCTAAGAAAGGAAGCTAAGTGAGAAGGGGGTGACCTTAGTCATGCACTTCAGAGAACAGAAGGAGAAAAGAGCGTGGCCAGCGGGTCAAGGGAGCTGATCTTCCCCCTCTATTCTGCCCTGGTGAGGCCACATTTGGACAATTGTGTCCAGTTCTGGGCTCCCCGGTTCAAGAAAGACAAGGATCTCCTAGAAGGAGTCCAGTGGAGAGCCACAAAGAATATATATATTATGCTCATACAGCATCTCCTGTATGAGAAAAGGCAGAATAACCTGGGTCTGTTCAGCCTGGGGAAAAGAGTGAGAGGAGATAAGGGTTTATAAATATCTAGAGGGAGGTGGGAGGCAAACGATGAGGCAGGCTCTTCTTAGTGGTGTGCAGAGATAAGACAAGGAGTAATGGCCTAGAACTTGAACACTGGAAGTTCTGTATTAACATGCAGAAGAATACCTTTACAGTAAGGGTGACGGAGCACTGGAACAGAGAGGTTGTGGCATTTCCTTCTGCGGTCATCCTGTGCGACCTGCTGTAGGGTACCTGCTTTAGCAGGGGGGTTGGACTCGATGATCTCTTGATTCTGCCCCTGTGATTTTCTGGTTCGGTGAAAAGCCAGACAAGGCAATTAAGGAAGGTGCAGAAAGGGAGAACGTGAGCTGGAAACTCTGAAAAGGCGAAACGCCAAGAAGGTGGAGAAAACTTGCAGTGCCAAAAGCAGGAAACAATAATAGCACAGACACCAGCTCCCTCTTACTCTTCTCTTACGACCATCATGAAAATTACTTTAAATTTAGAAGAATGACATTTAAGAGATTACAGTTTTTGTTATATAAATGATTGTTTTTCTTGGAAAAGAAAAAAAAAGCTCACCACAGAACATTACTAAATTTTGATGGGCAGCCATACTCAAATTCTTAAATGATCGAATACAAAGTGTGCTTGGAGGCTGTTTGTATGCAGTAGGGCAAGGCAGACGGCCCAGTGTAGGTGGCTCCACTTTGGGTCATGCTGCCCTGTAGATGGACTGAGCACTTCAGCAGCCATCTAGGACCATAACAAACGCTGAGATGGAGCTATTGATTGCCACTTGGGCTCCCAGGGAATAAGTAAAAGGTGCTCAAGGGTTAATACTGAAATTTGCTTATTCAGAACTTAACATATCTCCTTCTATCAGGAGATAAAAAGTCCTTGCACCAAACAGACAGTTTAGATGCATTTCCCATTAAGCTATGGGTGATATATTTCCAAGTGCAGATTATTGGAGTCTTTCTGCTGACAGCAAGAAATGTCAGACGAACTCCGAATATCACTGAATGTCTACGCCTTGGTAAAAAAAAGATTTTAACTTGGAGTAATATTACAGTTCAGGGCAAGACACCTTGTCCAATTTATTCTCTGTCCAGCACAAAGGGACCCTGCAATACATCTGCATTTATATTCACTGCCAAAACAGGCAACGGACCCTTACTATTCAGGGGAACAAAGCTCCACTCTTACATTCTAAGCCTAATGTGCTCAGCTACTGGTGTGGCACCATTAATCGTGGAGAATATGAGCTATATAGCCTTGGAAAACTGTCACCTTCCACATTTATTCGTAATACTCGGTCTAATAAAATGTTCTGCATGAACAAGTGAGCTGTGAATATAACATACTAAATGTTACCCCTACCTATCAGTAGGTATAGGACAGGGTGTGTTTGGGTTTAGTTCCTCTCCTGCTCTCTTGCATAAGGAAATCATTCAGCTCTTTACCACAGAGCTCCATTAAGCACTTTGTTTTTCACTGAATGACTCAAACATGTATGGCCTCCATGGATGGATAAACTGCTGCAGAAAGAGAGAAGTCAGCAGCACCGATTGGCCCTGTTGTCTGAGCGTGTCTTTTGATTTTTGACTTTCTGCCAAAGCATCATCCTTCTGTGTTTACCCTTCAGAAGCCCTCACTCACTCAGATGCTGCACGCGTTTGCAGCTCAGCCTTCTCTCCTGCAGAAACCAAATTCATCAAAAGGAATAACTCAGATTTATGGATTGTAATTTTGCAGCACAGATCCTGCATCTCAGATCTTTCACAGCCTTGTTACAACATGAAGTAATTAAAAGAGCAATTTTACGATGCCGCCTTTCCCTCAGATAAAAGATTTATCTTCATGCAAAACCATAAAGATTCCAAAGTATACTTAGTCACATTGTTTTCCTCTTCCCCTCATTGTGAATCAAGATAACAGAACCACTCTAAGCCTCTGTGTTGTTGTGCTGTGTGCACACGCATGCATGGATTTACACTAAGCACTGGAAACACACGGTGCTTTTTCTCCACTCTGGGGCCAGGGCAGCCAGTGCTGGGCTCAGTTCCCACTTTCACAGGACACCACGCAGCTGCATCTCCTTGTGAGCTGCTCTTGCTGCAGGAACTGCTGCATAACCACTGCTGCTTGCCGTGCATTTTGCACCTGAGTGAATGCCTACTGAAGGCAATGGGAACATGACCAGAATGGGTCCCAGGTGAGGTGTTTGAGCTGGTTACAACCATCTGTAAACTCACTGTTTGGCACTCGGGAATCTCCCAAGACAGACACAAAACAAGGGACACTCAACAAGGGACACTCTAGCAACATCTGAATTAGTAGCCTGCAAAAGTAGCTGTTCCCCTCTGAAAACAAAAACAGCTCAGAGAGCACTGATGTAGCCTTTATACAAGCAAGTAAGGCTATAAGTAAACCCTCTCTGCATAAACTCTAACAAAGCGTCAAACAAAGGCAATTGTTATCAGTTTGTTCAAAGCCTTGTGGACTTTTCACAGGAGATCTCTTGTGATTTCTAGTGCTGCAGCCTCACCAGTTGTAAGAACAGCTGACTCTGAAAGCCTTGGTCCTGTATAATTTTCCTCATATTCTAAGAGTGGGGATACGAGTTGAATCCCCACAGTGCTATGTCAAAGGTTCTTCTTAAGCACCTGGGTGAGGAAATGCTCTTACTGACAGCTCGCAAGCCTAAATCCCTCGTGGTATTGAAAGGAAATGAATTTGGTTTCTCAGAGCCTGTGGCTTCAGAACAAACCTTGGGAAACAAGTTTAGAATATCAGCATATGCTTCAATCCATTTTCTAGTTACAAAGGCTTCTTTATTAATGTTTTTGGCTGACAACAGTTGAGATAAGTGTTTTAGGAATGATGATAAACATGCTAAGAGAGAACAATGTGAGTGCATTTTTATTTCAGTTTTAACTTCTTTCATTGCTGTACAGCTACATTACACTTGGCTTTAATCCCTTAAGCATTATTTTCCTTGGCAAAATAGTCACTGATCTGAGTAGAACTTACTACTGGAAGAACATGCTTGAAAAACCAGCATGATATCAGTGCCAACCAAAATCCATGGAGCTTAAACTGTCACAAATGTGCCTGTAGCTGGAATATGCATCTCCTCACTAGGAATGCTGTAGTCTTAGTGAAGCCAACTGCAGAAAGCATGGAATAGCTTCCTGCAATTGTATATGTGCCTTGTCCTCCTCTCAGTGAACAATCATTTGAAAAACAATTGTATAAAACAACGTAGGATAATCCCTGGAATGGCTTGGGTTGAAAGAGTCCTCAAACACCATCCAGTTCCAACTCCTTGCCATGGGCAGGGCTGTACACCAGCCCAGGGCCCCAGCCAACCTGGCCCTGAGTGCCTCCAGGGATGGGGCACCACAGCTTCTCTGGGCAGCTGTGCCACTGCCTCACTGCTGTACCATAGGCACCAAATGACCGTGCTGCTCTGCTTTTAGTTTTGCCTCCATTAACTACCTACGGCTATGGATCAGAACAGGGGCTGCAGGCTTCTTAAAGAAAATATAGATTCCAATTGTGTAAAACAACTTGAATATTAAAATATATAAATAATCACTACTGAAGAATAACACAGAAGACCGTGGTGATTCATTACAAATAGATGGCATAAATGGGAACAGGAACACTGCTAGGTAAGGAGGAAGGAAGCTATTTTAGGAGTCCTGAAAATTTCTTCTAGTTCTGCGTATGGATCATGCTGCTACAGTTACTTGCTAAGAAAATGTGTTCTGAAAAGCACTTTTGGGAAGAAACCTTTCATTGGAACCATTAGTTAATGTAGACTTCCAATGGAACTAAAACACAGTTCCCGATACAGTTTAAGAATGGGAGGAGTTAAAAAAGAAAAAGAAAAGAAAAAGAAAAAAAAAAAAGAACAAAACCCACCATACCTGCACCAGGAGCTATTTATTAGCATAACACTCTTCCTTTTAAAGATTTCGTAACAACTGAAGTATATACAAAGTCTTACAGCATTTACACAATAAAAAAGTTTCCTATTAGCTGATGAAGTATAAGGTAGTGCTGCAATTTATTTCAAAGCATGTATACAAGAATAATGAAGCAGGCCACTGTACTTTCAACTCCTCTGCTACCGCACCACAACTGTCAGTTGAAATGACAGTTAATTAAACCACTGGGAAGATACAGATTGTCAAAAGATTCATAACAGGTTCACCTGCAGCACTAACCATCATAAGGAGGAAAGAAAATAAAGCTACATACTGTCATGTTTCTACACTTTCTAGAGCTGTAACAAACTTTCACAGCCTTAGATATAACATATGCAAGACAACATAATCACAATTTTTCAGATATAGTTCAGCTACTGAGTGTATTTACTTCTGAATAGGAGGCGTTATATTGATATGGCTGTGTGTTTCCATTTTTGTTCATTAACTGTTCAAATAGGTCTACAAAAAAAAAAAAATTAAAAGACAGCATGGACTTCGTAGTCATGATGTGTTTGACTAATAAAGGCATTCAATATCAGCTATAGGATCTAATCATTCCTGTCAAAAGTTTAAGACCAGGAATCTTAAGAGTAAAATCGAAACCCACAAAATCCCGCACCTATGATGCTTTTGTGTGTTGACTCCAACCTTCTTTAAGCTTTTCCAACAGGGTAATACAAAATCATTAAAATGCTTACACCAAACCAAATGCAATACTCATTCAGTTTATAAGTGGCCAAGCAGATACATTAGACCACCTCAGTTGTGAGACTGAGGGTGCTTATCTAGAAACAGAAACCTAAACAGTCCCTTACTACAGGTAGGGATACATATTTTAGCAAAGAACAGCACATTCCTTGCCTTTCAGCTTTACAGCTGCCAATAATCCACCTTCTACAAGAGATAAGGTTGCTTTGACTACTGTTGCATGTCTAAACCTCTTACAGTGGCCAATTTTTCTCCCTCCCCCATCCCCACTCTCCCCCCAAACGGGATTCCATTTCAACTTAGAACCTAGAAACGTCAGTTGACGATATCTGTATTAAGACAAAAAGTGACATATAAAACCCACAAGGAACCACATAAATACCAAAGAAGTCATATAACCTTTCCATGTAAACACTTTGATTATACTAAAGCCCTAATTAGATTCTTGTCTTAAACTTTTGGCAGATAACGTGTATGTTCAGCCAGGCTTTGCAGTTGGTTATTGTTCAAGTGGAAGCCAGGTCAGTTCACATGTTGACAGGCATGCAACTTGGAAACATTGCACAACAAGCAACACAAAGAGATTTGAGAAGTGTACAAGACTTCAAGTAGACTTCACAACCCTTCACAACTGAATATTCACAGACAAAGATACAGTCCTTGCTTTTTCTACTGTGGATTTTCTCACACGTGGGACACTTTCTGTGACTCTCTAGCTTGCTTGATGCTATACAACCACTTGATGATTCTGGCATTCCTTTCAATAGCAGAAATGCCGTATGGCACACGGTCATTGGCACTGTCATCATTTCTAAGGTCACTGTTGCTGTCCTGAGACTGTTCACAGTCTGAGCTAATCATGCTTGCACTGCGAAAGTTGAGGGATATAATATCAGAGTTAGCCCTTGCAAAATTTTCCATCCCAAGGTTTTCAAGCTCTTCAGGATCCAGTCCACAGTAGTTAAAGAATCGTTCAACATCTGCGTCGACACGAAAGTATCTGTCGCTTAAGTCTGATTTTGATCGCTGTAGGGAGGGTCTTCTACTAACTCCGCATCCAGACTCAACTGCCTCAATCTCTGGGGACTTGAGGGTGGCAATGGCAGCAATTTTGGGTTTTGGAGGCAGAGGTGGGGCTGAACTACTGCAAGGTATTGCTTTTAAGGGCTTTGCGCTAGTTACTTTCCTAATGTCTGAGGAGCTGTGAGAGACGTGCAAGAAAGTCTCTGCTGACTGGTCTAGGAGCCTTCTACTGACATTGGAGCTGCTCTCCTGGGGGCTGCTACGGCCCTGTGTGGGGTAAACCTTCAGGGACTCAGCAAACGAATGTCGGTTCAGTTCCGTCGAATCGGCTCTGTGGGGTGGCCAGTTTCGGGGACCGTGCTTGTGCCCCGAACCCGAGCTGGAGCCTTCAGAGCTATTGATGATGTTCTTCAGAATCTCTAGCTTCAGATTTTCTCTCTGGACACCGCTCTCGGTCTTTGCATTGTTGCTGAAGACCTTCAAGGTGGGGCTGCCCAGTGCCCGCTTGGCCGCAGGACAGACCGGCGGCTTCGCCAGCACTGCTGGCTTCACGGGCTCCTGCTTGGCATTGATGACCTCCTGACTTTTGACGTATTTCGCCTTGTCGGCTTCCAGCCTCTCCACCGCGCTCAGTCTTTTTGGGTTAGGCTCCGCCTGCCTGCGAAAATAGTCAGGTCCTTTGTTCAGGATGCGGAGAGGGACGGCGGATGTGAAAGTCACGGCAGGGCTGACCGGCTTCACCATGCTACCTGTCGGTAGTGTTTCTGTAGGCATGTTTGGTGGTCTTTCCCCCGCAGCCGTTTTGGATTCTTCTCTGGGATCTCCTAAACGCACGGTGTAGAAACATGTACATTAAGCACAATGAATAGCCGATGAATCCAGGGATCTGAGCGTTAGCAGCAGCGCCTCATCTCACAGCTCATTAAATAACGCTGCGCTTCTCTTTTAAAGGCAGCCTTTGTACTGCAAGGCCACCAGACACAAGTCCGTATTAGTCTGCTCCACTGCCTCCTTTCTTCTCGCTGAAAGATGTGGGAGTCTCCTTGCTTCCTTTGTGCGATCTGAAAGGCAGAAGAGCCAACCACATGTTAGTGGCAGCGCCTGACATCAGAGCGATAGCAACAGCAGCCCAACCCTCCTCTCCTCTCCTGTGGCAGCGCAGGGAGGCAGCGCTGGGTGCCCCACCACCACCCAGAGGGATTATGGCAAAAGGAAAGGGGAAGGACACGGGGCCCCTGCTGGGATGCAGCCACACGTGTCTGGGGACAGGTAAGGGACAGGGATGCCAAATGGGCTGGGTCACAGGGTTAGACCCACATACCTCCAAACGATGAATGAAAGCGCACTTTCAAACACTGCCTGTGGCTTTGTCTAGTTGATTTCTCAACATGCTTTATCTCTAAACCCCCAAAGTTTTTCTCCTTACTGGCAGTATATAATTCTAACAAATGCAGAGTATTTTCCTATTTTATTAAATGCTCCAGAAAATGAGCCAGTCTAAAAACAGAGAAATGTAGTGTTTTAATTGCAAGGCATATGCTTCATCATTAAGCTAACAGAAAAACAAGCAACCAAACAGAGAGACTGCTGAAACCCCATACTTCAGCTTCAAGGCTGTTTGAACACGAGTCCCCACAGCATGCGGTGCTCCAGGAGCAAAACAAGAATTTCCAAGTTCTTAAGGGAGGGCAAATTAACTATAACAAGAAAACCCTAAACCTAATGAGAAAAAACAAATACTTTATTCTTTTAATGATGGATTTGGGAAGCATGTAAAACATTCCAACTTGACTTGAAAAAAGAGAACTTGTCTTTGCATTTAGATAAAATTGTTTCAGCTTTCTAGGCAGCACAATGTCCAAAACAACATTTACCTTTATCTAAACTGTTTTAAGATTCCTTCACTTCACATTGCCACACCACCACACACAACCTAAAATGCAACACCGTAGATAACACAGCAAGTGCTGTAGCAATTTCTCCCACATGAGGCACTGAAGAGCACTTACCAAAGAATCTAGTTTTAAGGCAGCGATTTAGCTAATGGGTCTCATTTGTTTTATTACTGCCCCCATTAATCTGCACCGTCCTTTTTAATATCCCATTTCTGCTATCATCGTGTTCTTCGGGGAGAGCAGGAAAAGCTGCTGCTGCTTCTTCACTCATCCCGAGGTGCTCAAAGCAGCATCCTTCCCAGTGATGACCTGCTTTTGCCTGTATTACCACGCTCATCTATTGTTATCCAACTTACTAACCATAGTGTATTTAACCATCAGTATGTTGTTTGGACCAACAACAACAACAAAAACTCCTCTAAATCCCACAGAAAAACCCATAATTCCAGCTAACTATACCTTAAGAGACAAAGAAAGCAGCCTCAAGTATTTATTCCCAGAAGTACACGATACATACATTGAATATTTTCTCTAAACCACTCAAGGTCAAAGCAAGGAAACCAAATGTATAAATGCTATAATGAGATTATAGGAAAAAGCTGAGCTTTCTCCTGAAGGCTCACTGTCACAAGCATTCTTCAAATACAAACTAACATATTTAGGTGGGTGATAAACCAGACATGCATTCAGTGCAATTGAAAGGGTAGTGAAATGTTAATTAAGCTTTCCTTTCAGTGTTGTTTCATAAATCCTAGTGACTTCCTGAATTTTAACTAAGTCTTCCTGAAAGAGAAAAAGCTCTTTTTTTCTCATTTGAATCAACATATTTATTGGGACTATTTTAAAATTAAGCACTGACTTTCCAAATGTGCTGAAGGCAATTTTAGCAGGCATCTGCACATACACATTTCTGTTCCATATACACAAATCAAACCCTTCCACACTGCCAGCACAGGGCTCGTAGAAATTCCTGATTGCTGTATTTAGTGCTTACATGCAGAAACTGAATATATGCAAGGACAGGGGCCTTGTCAGGAGAAAAGAAAAATGAAAAAGAAAAAAAAATTCACTCCAAAAACCAACCCTTCAATTCTATGTACTAAACCAACACTGTCACCCAACCCAGTTAATAGCACTTGAATAAGCAAGAGCACAGCTCTGCAATTCTCCTCAGCCATTGTCACTGAAGGCCATGGTTCTGCCCAGAGGAACTCCTGCCAGCTCCACTCTGCTCCCAGAGAGCTGCTCTGAGCACACCGCAAATCTCTGGGGCTGTGGGAACCAAGGCTTTTGGAAGTCTTTCCCCAGCATTTACTAACTTCCTCACTCAGGACAGCCCTGCTTGATGCCAGCAAGCACTGCTTTGGAGGTTTTCTTCAAAGGAAGAAAGAAGAAAAAAAATTCCCACTGTGCATGCATGTTCACCCAAGGGAATGAGAGCGCTTGTTTGCAAGCACACATGGGGCTAAATGCCCTGAAGTCAATGGAAATACACTGTGACTGGCAATGAGCTCCAGGCATGCCTTTAAAGAAAAGCAAAGGGCTGAGGAGAGCCAGGGCAGAGATGCTGTCTGGAGCCAGCATCGGCCAGGTGGTTACGTGGCCAGACAGGGAGCTCTGTCCTTGTGCTGCTGGTAAAAACTGAGGTAGACTCAGCTACAGTAAAAAGTGTGTTGCATTCCTGAGGTACTGTGTTTAAATATCACGGGGAAGTTTATTCAGTACTCTCACCTCGGAGAGCTAGAAACTGTTAATCAGACTGCACTAGAACAGAAAGTGCGGTGGAAGACAGGTGGATGTAGGTACTACTGAAACAACCTCTCCTGCCTGTGCTCTGATGGCTGCAGCTTAATTCTGCTGCTAGCCCAGTGCAATTCCTATCAGTGCCTCTGTTGTTCACAGGCATTTGAAACATGCCCATGATGCTAGGAGAGTCACTTACTAATTTCAGCACTAACGAAAAAGGCTGAGCAGCAGCAGCACAGCACAGACAGGGGAAGACAAACCTGTGCCACTTTGTTTCCAGTTGTGAAACTGTAATTGCAGCAACAAGGGTGGAAATGGCTTCCTGTTGGCATAGGTGACAAAGAAAGTTAAAGCTTAGCCATTAGAATTGCCTGTTGTGGATGGCTCCAGTACTGGCTTTGCACTGTAGAAATTCAAAGGCTACATTTCCACTCCCAGGAAATGAATGAAATACACTTAGGGACCTTAGAAACATTTTACTCTTGTTCACATCCAGATGTCTATTCTGTGAATGTAATTCTTCCCAAGGACTGGATTATGTTTTTCAGGATTTGCTCCAGACTCCCATTATTTCACTTCCTTAGAAAAAGATCACTAGGCTTAAGAGATCATTTAAAGAGAAACAAAACTTCAAACTTATGCACACATTCAAGCATGCTTCATTTTAATAACACACATACATTGATAAAAGCTGTCTTAAAGTTTGTACCACTGAGCTCTTCTAACATCAGTGACTGTTGCAGAACTACTGAGCAGAATACAAACCATACAAAGGAAAAGAGGGACTTAGGTTTTTAAAGCTCTATTTTCAACCAGGCACTTTGATTCAAGATTCCTTTGTGGCAAAGGGAGAGATTCAAACCACTTACTCATCCTAGGCATCATGCTCTCATCGCCCTTAGACCTGCAATACATTTGTTAGATATTCACATTTAGGTAACAGGCTTACCAGCTGCATGATTTGGGACAACATGGTGCAGCCAACAGCAGCAATGGCTATACAACTAACTAGAAAGAAATTCTCTATGAAATATTATTTCTGTGCTGCCCTGTAGCTCCTATACCTTGGATCAAGTTTCAATCAGCCTTTGCCTGAATGTCTATTCTGAAACCATTACGTATTTTAGCAGTGTTCAAGTTGCAGCACAGGAGCAAACAACAGTGAAAATATGGCTTAAATGATAACATAGGAATTTTTACTTTTGATTTCAATGAGGATGCAGCTTCACCCACCAACACTGTACTGAAGCTGATGCTCTTATTTCATTCCTCTGGGATAGAAGATGAGGGATGAACAGGAGGTACAGAGGACAGGAGAATGAAGCACAGTGGGTGCATATAACAAAGACTGACAGCCTTTCCTCTGCTTTCGTTGGTATTTAAAGGCCTGTGTCAATTTTATTTTCCTGATGGTAAAGTATAACTACGCAGCCTCAAGATGCACCAGAAACATCATAAATTCAAGTACAAATGATCTCAACAGGGCTCAGAAAAATCACAAAACAAATTTTACAGAGGACCATAGCATACAGATGAAAAATCACAGGCTCAGCTAATGGCTAGGTGCACATTAGAGCTGAAGGTACCATTGTGAAGCTGCTGCTTTATTAATAGTCCCTATAAAGCCAATGAATGAGGACTTCAGTGAGAGTAACTTGCTACAAGGTTATGCACAAGGATATAGTATTGTGTACACCTCAACTCCATACCAGTTCTTAGGACAACCATCAGCATAAACCTTGCATGTAGTTTATATTAGTAAGTTTAAAAATATGAACAAAACTTAAACAAATAAAGATTAAATTGGCATTGAATAATCCACCTCCAGAATGGCAGCAGTATGACATCTGTGAAATCAATTTTAGATAAACACATACACGGGTGCAGACTTGGCCTCGTATTACATTAGCTGTCGAGATACAAAGCGTGAGGAGATGGAATCATCTTTCAGATCTACCATGAACCAAAATACAAATCAAAGTGATGCCCTTTGGGAACATGAAACAGTGACAAATAAATGAAGGGCAGTATCTGCTCAGAGAGAAGGTTGAGCCCCCAGAAGTTCATAAAACTCGGTATGCAGTGACCTAAAACCAAGAGTGGCACAGGGATGTAGAGGTAGGAAATTTCCACCAACGGGGAAAATTGGTGATCAAGGCAGCTGCTTTGCACTGCTTGTGTATTATATATTTAGGCCAATTCTGATTTGCTCTGGCATTACACTCAACACCACCCACTGATGTTAAATATCAGTCTGAAGTGCAGTAAGGTGACAAGTTTGCACAAGAAAACCTTGTAAGATAAAACTCTTATCAAAAGTGCCATGGTCACTTGACAGTTTCTATTTCACTTCACAGTTAAAAGTGAGGTTTAAACCAGGACGCTGGTGTAACTAGAAATGCTTACACTGTTATGGGGAA